GGATTACCTAAGTCGTATTTATCGCCCCTTGTTTATCCATCGAATCATTGAACTGATTATCTTTTGAACAAGTGCATTATATGAGATTTCAAATAAGAAAAATCTACTTTTTGCATGGCATGTCATATGCATATATCCCACGAGATTGATAAAACTGTATGTACTTGTTTTAATCTTCTAAATTAATCCCGATTTGAAACTTTCAAATTTTGGACGTGAGGGTAGAATCGGAGTGTGAATACCTTAGAACCATAGCATTAAACATTCTCACACGTGCGGGGATAGAACCTCACTTGTGGAGTTGAGTGTCGCACTTCCAGCAAGGGGGGTAGTTGCTGGGTTGCATTATGAAATAAAAGCACATGCGGAGAAGAATTCTCGCATGTGCAAGAAGAAGCACTACACGTGCAGCCAAGGGGTCCGCACATGCAGAAGGGGGTGTTGTACGTGCGAAAGTGTCTGACTTAACTCCAAAATTTCAACCACTTTTATAAAACCTGATTTGCTCTCTCTCTCTCTCTCTCTCTCTCTTCACTTTTCCTTATCTCTCTCTAAACTCATATTTTCGCTTCCTTCTCTTTAACCCACACCCAAAGCTCTCACATTTTGTTTTATCTACACAAATCCACTAACATTTTGACCTATGTTCTTGAGGCAATATCGAAGAGCTTTGTGAAAGGAGATTGGCTTCCAACGCCATCAATTTTAGGACTTTTCTCTCATCTTCCTCCTAGAGCTTGCGGTAGGGATTTCTTTGAGTTATACATATATTTTGTCTTCTCTATATGTTATTTTGGTGTGATATTTGTAAGAGAAGTTAGGGTTTTAACATTTGAGATTCTCTAAATGAGGGATTTTCTCAAATATTTCTTAAAATCCTTAAAATTATAGACTATTATGATAGATGGAAGTCTTTTATGTGGAAAACTATTTTCAAAAGTGAGAAAACCTAATTTTTGTAAAATTCCTAAATTTTGGAAGTACGAGGGAAAATGTTATGTTAATGAAAAATCATGATTTGTAGAGTATTACTATTGAGACATGATGATACTTTTAATAAATTTGTCAATTATTTAAAAATCCATGAGAAAGGAAGTTTGTTGTTAAGGAATTATGATATAGCATGGCATTATACTAGCATTGAGAAATAGAAAATAGAAGTGATGATTATGAAATTGAGATTTGCTTGCTTGTATGAGGAATGAAAGTGGATATGATTGTATATTGTTATTGGCTTTGGGAATATATGTACATATATATATATATAATATTGAGTAGAGATGTTTTGCTAAGCAACAATTGAGAGTTGTGTTGTTGAGATTGAAATTGTCAAAAGATCAAAGAACAAGAATGTAATTCCATTTCATTGTCATCTCATCTCATATTACATGTTTTCAAATTGTCGTTTGTTGAAATGTGATTTTGAAAGGAAAAGAATTATTTATTGAAAGCAAATGTTGTTTTTGAATTACTTTGGGGTAAATACTTTGGTAAGTATGGATAGGGTGTGTTGTTGATATAAACTATGTTGGCTTGGGATCCATGGTGAAAGTTCAGAAACCCATGGCGTATGTACCAAGTTCCATCCGGTTAAGAGCCGGTAAAGTGGTTATTGGGTAGTGCCTTGAAAGCCTACTTGCAAACACCAGCCTAAAAATTACCTAAGTCATATTTACTGCCCGCTGTTTATCCATTGAATCATTGAGCTGATTACCTTTTGAACAAGTGCATTATATGAGATTTCAAATAAGAAAAATCTACTTTTTGCATGGCATGTCATATGCATATATCCCACGAGATTGATAAAACTGTATGTACTTGTTTTAATCTTCGAAATTAATCCCGATTTAAAACTTTCAAATTTTGGATGTGAGGGCAGAATCGGAGTGTGAGGAATACCTTAGAACCATAGCATTAAACATTCTCACACGTGCAGGGATTGAACCTCACTTGTGGAGTTGAGTGTCGCACTTCCAGCAAGGGGGGTAGTTGCTGGGTTGCATTATGAAATAAAAGCACATGCGGAGAAGAATTCTCGCATGTGCAAGAAGAAGCACTACACGTGCAGCCAAGGGGTCCGCACATGCAGAAGGGGGTGTTGTACGTGCGAAAGTGTCTGACTTAACTCCAAAATTTCAACCACTTTTATAAAACCTGATTTGCTCTCTCTCTCTCTCTCTCTCTCTCTTCACTTTTCCTTATCTCTCTCTAAACTCATATTTTCGCTTCCTTCTCTTTAACCCACACCCAAAGCTCTCACATTTTGTTTTATCTACACAAAATTAATGAGATTTGGATTACATTAATAGAATAATTAGAATTACTAAATGTTATTATATTTTTAGGGCGTTACAATAAAATTAAACTATTAAAGCTCGACTCGTGTTTATGGGTTAAAACTTTGCCTAATAACCTTGAGGTTATAGGTTCAAATCTTGGGACCACAATTTTACGTATTATGCCAAAAATTAGATGTGTACTCTCTGTGTCAGTCAATGGGTCACCAACAGAGGAGTTTTCCCCTTAAAAGGGCTTCAGGCAAGGTGACCCTCTATCTCCATTCTTGTTCAACATAGCTGCCGAGGGCCTCAATATTCTTATGTCAACAGCATAGCAGCATGGTCTAATTAAAGGGGTAAAGGTGGGTTCTAGTGAAGTGTTGCTAACATATCTACAATTTGCCGATGATTCCATTTTGTTTTGCGAAGCTGAGGAAATGGAGGTGTGCAATGTTAAGAGGGTCTTGAGGTGTTTTGAAGTGATCTCTGGGCTGAAAATAATATCATAAGAGTCTGGTGTGTGGGGTTAATGTTCCTGAGGAATCTTTATCCACATTTGCAGCAAGATTACATTGTCAATTCAAGGTTCTCCCTTTGAAGTATTTGGGGCTGCCTTTGGGAGCTAACCCAAATAAGAAGTCAACTTGGAAGCATGTTCTTGATAAAGTCAGAAGCAGACTTGCAGGTTGGAAAAGGAAGCTGCTATCATTCTCAGGGAGGCTCACTCTTCGAAAATCAGTGTCCTCTACACTGCCTATATTCTATCTATCTTTATTTAAAATGCCTGTAGGGGTAGCTAGAGAATTTGAGATGCTGCAGGCTACTTTCTTTTGGGGAGGGTCAAAATCAAGAAAACCAATTCACTTGGTTAAATGGGATGCCTTAACAAAGAATGTGAAGCAGAGGGATTAGGTATTAGGAGAGTTTGGCTGGTTAATGATTGTATACTTCTAAAATGGTGGTGGAGATTTGGCTCAGAGAAAGATGCTTGGTGGAGAAAAATTATCTGCTGCAAGTATAATATGGATGAAAACATAAACAGCTGGTATCCCTCTTTTTTCCCTAGCAGCAGGTTCTCTTGTGTATGGAAAGGTAGCACGTCTATACCAGAGAAGAGGAATAGTTTGATGGTGTTCTATCTTAATAATGTTCATATTAAGGTAGGGGATGGTAATAGAACCATTTTCTGGAAGGATAAATGGTGCAGCAATTCTTACTCGAAAGATGAATTTCCAATTCTTTACAGATTGGTGTTGGAGAAGGAGGAAACCCTGAGATCAATGTATGACAAGAGGGTACATTCAGGGGCTTGGAACTTTCAATTCAGAAGAAGGTTGTATGAGTGGGAAGAGAGAGAAGTTTGTAGGCTCAAGTGGCTCCTGGTTTCTACACCTGATCCATGTACTGTTCTAGAGGACAAAATAGTCTGGTTGGCTGAAGGATCTAGCCTATTCTCTGTCTCCTCCGTTTATAAAAATGAAATTGACTTCCTTAGTCCCTCTCTTATTTCTTGTATGTTTGTTTGGAACTCATTTGCCACGCCAAAGGTTCAATTTTTCTGTTGGCTAGCAAGGAAAAACAGAGTCAAGTCAGCTGAATTTCTACAGAAAATTGGAGTGATTCAAGCTAATGCTCCTACTCTCTGTCTTTTCTGTAAAGCTAAGCCTGAATCATCCAGTCATGTCTTGCTACATTGCTATTTTGCATGGAAGGTTTGGGCTGCTACGATGGATTGGTGAGAGTTGCAAGGGGCTCTTCCAGGTTCAGTCGAAGATATACTTCACTGGTGGGATTGTGTGAATTTGAACAACAAAGAAAAATGGATATGGAAGGTCATTCCCTTGGTTGTCCTATGGTTTTTGTGGAAGCTTAAAAATGAATGCATTTTCGAATCTGCTATGCCTCAGTTAGTGGACCTGTGTGAGTTGATTAAAATCAGAGTTGCACTGTGACTGAAACAAAGATTCAAGGATTTTCATTTCTTTGTACAAGACTTTTTGACCAATTTGAGGCAAATAAGATTGAGTTTGGGGAGTAGATCTGTTTTGGGCTGTTGATATTGATCTGGTTCTATTTTGGGTTCTGTTATGGATTGCTGTTCTGGGATGTTGTTGATCTTCAACATTAAAGTTGCTCTGGGCTGCTGCTAGGATGGAGTTGGGGTTGTACATCTGTATCATGCTGGGCTGGTTGCATCTGTCATGGGATGGTTATGTTCTTTGCAGGTATGGTTCTGTGTGGGGCTACCTGTATGGTGTTAGGAGAGTTTAACTGTTCTATACTTTCTTCTAGGTTTATACTTTCTTCTGGGTTGGTGCCTTGCCAACTGTTCTCTGTCTTTTTATTGATTTTGTCAATGTTTTCACGTGATCATTATCAATAAATTTCCTCTTTAGCTGTTTCAAAATAATAATAATAATAATAATAATAATAATAATAATAATAATAATAATAATAATAATAATAATAATAATAATAATAATAATAATAATAATAATAATAATAATAATAATAATAATAATAATAATAATAATAATAATAATAATAATAATAATAATAATAATAATATAGACTCTTTATATAAAAAAAAATTATGTTTAAGCATAATTTAAAATTCGTTAAGTCTTTAAATTAAATTTAAATAATTTATTATTTATAAATTCTCCTCGGAAAGGATACGCATCATCACATACGACATGAAATAGCCGTTACACTAAAGAGTTTCTCACACTAATAGACTTTTTTTTCTTTCTTTATTTTTTTTTCCACATCAAACTCACTGACTCTCTTGCAACTAAAATCCATGTTCTACCCTTCACTCCTCCAAGTATGTTGACATGCACACAAGTGATAATCAAATATTAATAATTTTAGCTCCCAAAAACCACAACAATAGATATAATTTTTTATTTTTATTTTTTTTTAAAAAAAAAAGCCAACTAAATGAAATTAAAACCTTCAAAGAAAATAGAAAAAGCAACTTTAACATGCAAGTCCTAGATGACCCCCACTATTGCAGAACCACTTCATATTCTATTCCTCAGCCTTGTCAACTGCTGGAACTTCTGTTTTCTCCTCAACCACTGCTTCACTTGCTTTTTCTTCTTCAGCAGCTGGGACCGGTACCGGTGCTGATTCCTCAGCTGCCGGTGCATCGGTAACCTAAGTAGCAGTTTCTTCTTTTGTCTCTTCTTCAGTAACAACGGCAGCCTCTTCTTGCTTCACCTCTGGAACCACTTCTTTTGCTGGTTTCTCCTCCTCAACCACCACCACTGGCTCTTCAGCAGCAACTTTAGGTTTCCCAACAACTTCCATGCTCTCGACTTCAACCTCCGCCGGTACTGCGGCTGGTGCTTCTTCTGTTGCTACTGCAGCCTCCTCCTTCGGTTCTTCTTCAGCAGCCACTGGTTCTACCTCTGGGACTGGGGCTGCTGGTGCAACCACGGTTTCCTCTGGCTGAGTCTCTTGGGTCTTGCTCACCTCTGTTGTTTCATTTTCGGGCAATGCTGTCACCACGCTTGTAACCTGCAAAACTCAGTTTTCCATCTTAATTGAAATTATGATTGCAAGATTATATTAAAAAGCGCAAAATAAAAAACAAGGGTTGCATATATTATGTTGTTGATCAATGATTTTGTGTTTTGATTCTCACGTCATATATGTCAACACAAACTTTAAAATTTTAGTTGATTTTATTCACGTTTTACCATGATCGCAATTACTTGGTACCAAACCAATAGCGGCTTTTTTTTTTTTTTTTTTTTTTTTTTTTTTTTTTTTTTACAAAAAATTTTTTTTTTTTTTTTTTTCAGCAAAAACAAATAACTTTATTAATGAAAAATGCATAATACATCAAGAGAGGCCCCACATCTCAATGATTCATATACTTAAATTAATTGGATATAAGAGTATTGTTGTTTACTCCGAGACCCAGGCTGTCTGACCTGACTTGCACATACGGTTGTGATTAAAATTCATGTAGACCCCACAAAGAGTATAGTCGATCGAGGCCATTCTTTGGCAGACTCATGTCAAGTTGTGGTAGGGCTAAAGCTTTGTGAGTGCCGTGTATGTTTGTGTGTACAAGAGCAACTTTTTAGCCTCCGTTTGGGAGGTGGGTTGGCTTTTTAATTTTTTAATTTTTTTAGTTATTTTAGTCTGGTTAAAAAGTTTGGTTTGGGAAGAGCTTTTTAGTTTTTTGACTTTTTTGACTTTTTATGTGAGAGAAGAATGTAATAATTATGGGTTAGATGTGATGTTTTGTTTTTTGTGGCTAAAATAACCTATTTTGTCTTTTGTAGCTAAAATAGTCAAAAAAAAACCTGAAAAAGCTCTTCCCAAACGGTCCCTTAGGTCATTTATTTAATAGTAAAAGTTAAAATGGTTTGCTTAAGTTATTTTTAGTGTTACAGTAAATAAAAAGAATTAAAAAAAGAAAAAAAGAAAAGAAAAGGTCATTTATTTAATACAAACAATTGTCACATCAATTTTTGGTTAGTGGATCTACTAAACAAATCTTTTGTGATCATGATTTTTGGTTAATGGATCTACTAACCAAAAAAGACTTTGTCAAATTTTAAACTAAATTTGTACTAATATTTAGTTTTATCATTTTTTTGGCAAGTCATTTTGCTCCACCATTACAGAATAGTTTTTAATGTGTGTAGCCAAAAAATGACCTATAACATTTTTGTGGGAGTTGTTAAGAATGGATAGTTGGCTTAATCGATATAATTATAAATCTGATATGACTTAATGCATTGAATTATATAAAAATTAAATTGTTTATTAAAAATATGCAGTATTTACATTGACAGTATTGCATTTGTACAAATAAATTTATTAAGCTTAAAATTGATAAAAACATATCTATGATAGACAAAAAAAGATAAATGGATTGATAATAATACCAATTGAAAAATGACGTGTTAAAAAAATTAAATATGAAAACAATTAATTAGTACTTCTGTATCTCAAAAAGCAATAAAAATCAATTGTAAACAAAAAAGTAGCAACAAAAAGCTGTCCCAATAAGTTTTTGAGAAAAGCTAAGTATCATGAAAAAACTTTCATAAAAATGATCATGAAAGAATTATGACTCTTGGATTACCTTGATTAGTGTGTGGTGCTCTATTTTAAGTGTAATCCAAGAGTCATAAATTTTTTATGATCATTTTCATGAAAGTTTTTTCATGATACCAGTATTGCTCATATATACATGTACTACAGTTAGAAACGCATATGAAGTTCATGAAAATAAGTTACACATGTAAGATGAAGGATGGAATGCACGTGGGCTCCACATCATTTCCGCTCTTTGTCTCACCGTTGTGATTCATTCTATGAGATTACTAGACTTTATATATATATATCATATGATGATGATGATGTTTTGAAAGATCTAGATACAGATTATAAATCAATCACTGTAATATGTGTTGCAAACACAAACACTATACAGGAGATCACAGAAATGATGGGTGGATTTAACAGTAAGCCAGTGCATGATCTTGATGCTCATGAATCCAGTAACTAGCTTGAATTGGAGATGGGTCGATCGATCGATCTACCAACTGGCATAGATGATCATCATATGTTTTTCTTGTTTGCATAGTTTGCAAGTTGACAAACTACCAACAAGATTTGTAGAGAGAGATCATCATGCTTTGCTAGTCACCACCAGCATAAATATGGGACAAAAAAAACATTATGATTACCGGCGAATTTTAATTTTACAATAACAAAGTTACGAAAACAAATCTGATCATAAATAGGTAAATCAAATATGAAATCATATATAGATTGATAGATAAAAGAAAAAGTAGAGTAGTTTAAGTTGAGTTACCTCAACAGCGGCCATTGAAAAGCAAAGGGAATGAAAGAGCAAACAACAAAGAGCAAAGAGAGTGATTTGGGAAATGAAGAGTAGAAGAGTGGTATAGTAGTGCTTTTGGTTGTGAAGAGCTGTGATCCAATTTGAGAGCTATATATAGAGAGAGAAATGTAATTTCTTATAATTAATAAAAATATTGAGTCGGAGGAGCTGGCAGCACTTCCAAAAAAATATAATAATAATAATCTTACCAAATTAATTTGACACCTCATATTCCTGACATAAAGGGCAATTTAATTAGTATAATATTAGAGATACTAAATTTTTTATCAAATAAATGACTAAATGTTTTATATGGGTGTAGGATCCGTGAAATATTTAGTTATTTATTTGGTAGAAAATTTAGAATTTATACATTTTCTATTTAATTAGGCATGCCTAGTTGTAAATGTTTTTACCTTTCAAAAAAAAATTAAAATAAAATAAAAAATTTTGAGATGATTTTTTTTTTAATTATTGTTTTTTTAGTGAATTTTAAATCTATATGCGCAATCCGGGTTCTAGTCTAAGTGGTTTGGAATGCACTGAGATAAGGTTTCAAGTTTAAGATTATAATAATCTAATTTTTAATTCGCTAAAATCGTACTTTATGTTAATGTTAATGAAAACAAAAACAAAAAATCAAGGGTAAATATGGAAATAGTCTATATACTTTACACGATGTGTCAATTTAGTCCCTGTAGTTTCAATTTGCTCGATTTTGCCTCCTTAATTTAACGGATTGTGTCATTTTAGTCAAATAAATAACGATTGTTAAATTAATTTAACGGAATGTCAAATAATGTGTCAATTTGGTCCCTCTACTTTACACGATGTGTCAATAGTTTCAATTTTCTCGATTTTGACAGGGACTAAATTGACACATCGTGAAAAATATAAGGACGAAATTGATACATTGTTTGACTTTTCATTAAATTAACTTAACAACCGTTATTTATTAGACTAAAATGACACAATTCATTAAATTAAGGGGCAAAATCGAGTAAATTGAAATTACAGAGACCAAATTGACACATCGTGTAAAATATAAGGACTATTTGCATAATTTTTCCAAAAACCAAAACCTAGCTGTGCGGGCTAAAAATGACATCTAATATCTCGGCTTGGGAACTTAGGTACGAGAGGGAAATGTCATGAATTGAGCACCCCACTAACCCAATCAAAGATCGGCTTTTACTAATCATGATGTTATTTTTATGTACATTATATACTCTTGTTCGGATTATGAGGCTAACATTACTATGTGATGCACATAAGTATAGATTAATTTGCAAAAGTTGGAACGCTTTGATTTCATGTTTTGTTTTGAAAAAAATAGTTTAAATACGTACGACTTGAAAAAGTAGGCTCGTATTTACTTGAATAAATTTATCCTAATTTTTGCAATTAGCCTTCATCCTTCGACATCCAAAGAGTTATATCAATTAAGCACTTAGCTTCGTGGTAAATATGCTTAACATGTCAACAATCACACGCATGCGTGTAGACGTGCCCTTGGGCCCCATGCTACAGTTCGGACTCGATTTGTGTGTCGGTTCTTAATCTGATCTCACAATGTGCAATGTGAGATTGATAAATCACCAAAGAGTCCAAATCCTGGCAAATCGTTCTGGAAAACAGATTTTTTTTTAAAAAAGTGCCAAACATGGACTGCTTTGCCAGATACAGAGTCGCCACCTAAATATTTTATTTTGGGAGAATTTAAGAAACCCTGACTCGTTGCCTAAAGCCACATGTCCGTCATCACCAAAGTTGCCTCAGCTCGGGAACTTGGGTACGATTGGGGAAGGTCAGCTATGAGCACTCCCGCTCGCCCGATCCGAAGATCGGCCTCCACTAACCATGATATCTAGTTTTGAAAACGTTATGTGTTGTTATTCCGGTTATTAGCCTAATCTTACTATGTGATGCGTACAACACAAAAGTATAGACTAGATTGCCTAATTTGGAACAAAGTATCGCATATCCGTTTGGTTGAAAAAAAATTTGAAATTTGCTACTCGCAAGTAGGCTAAAACACGGATTTCAATGAGTTGTTCCAACTCAAACAATCCAACTTTCACCCACAGGCATTCAGGCAGTTTATATCACATAAACATATAGCCGTATGGTAAGCATGATGTCATGTTAACATTCACACTCATGCGAGATGCTAAAGCATAAATGCTCACCTAGTACTCCGTGCCAAAACAGTGAACTAGTTAGTAATCATACATGATCCTAGTTCATATTAAAATGGCTAATGCATCGCATACAGAATGTCACTAGAATAGGCTCGGCTAATCTTTGGATGGCATGTGAAATGCGACAGATGGCATGTATTCAAGTTAGATTTGAAATACTTCTGCAATTAGCATGATGCGCCGAGCCCGGCGTATGCAATACAGATGGATGATGCAAACATGCGAGCATAAGGATGCTAATTGAAATATGCCCTAGTACTAACCATCAAAGCAGGTAAGTAAAAGGGAGAAAGAAATGGGGGTTGGAAGATATACACACATGCACCCACACTTATTACAAATTTGCCCTCGCTCGGAGGGACCGAAAGAATAATACAATTTAACTAACTATCAAGCTAATTAAATATTACAAACAATTAATTAAGCTAATTAAGCAGTAAAAGCAGCCTCGGGAAGAGGGCCCAATGCATACGCGCTCGGTCCCACTCGGAAACCCACCACCATGCACAAGTTTGCCTCTGTTTCCCCTGCTCTGCTCTTCTAAAAATTACACAACTCCCAAGGTATGCTCCATGGACACTGTGGATCACCACCGACCAAGTGGAAACCCCACCGACCATGTCCGGATGGTCATCGACCATTTGTTAAGCTCTCGGCCATCAATAATTGGTCGGTCGGCACTCCACGTAGTCGACCGGCCAAGTCTTCCTGCAGAACCTGTTTTGACAGCAGCAGAGGGCAAAACAAGGCATGGCAATGTGTTTCAAGCAAATGTGTGCACCAACATATCCCTTATCATGTTCATGACTCAAAGGGGTATGGTCCTTGATTCCCGGACCACCAATCGCGCATTTTGATGCGTGATGGCCCAAGTAACCAAGTGTGCATTTTGATATCAAATGAAGTGCAATGTGCATAAACAAACAAATGAGGCCCCAACCTCTATCACTTGATCAAGAGGCAAGGCATGCATGCCAATGCAATGCAACCTAGACATGCGAACTAAGTATGCAACATGGCAATGCAAACAAGCATACAAGGCATGTGACAATCATGCTAATGACGAGTATGCAAGGTGTAATGTGGATGTTCAAGCATGCAAACAAGCATGTGATAGGCTAAGTATGCCACGACATACAAGGCTAATGGACATGCAAGATATGATGCAATCAAAGCATGCGGAGTGTAAGACATGTAACAACATGTAAAGAGTGGACTTAGACTAATTTAGGCAGCTCTATACTAGGCCCAAAACAGTGGCCAAAAGCTATGAGGATGGGGCCAAATGCACATACAAGCGTGCATGCAAATGGACCAACACTTAAGCATCAAAGAGACAACTTTTAAGCACACTTAAAAGAAGATGAACATGGACACATAGCATGCATAGAAAGCTCTAAAAATCATGTTATAAAGGTGCCAAACCAAGTAAACAAGACAAGCTAAACATGCAAAAATGGTCGGAGATTCAAGGAAAGCCTAAGCGGCTTAAACCATGGCTAAGTCAAACAAGCCTCACAAAGCTAAAAGGACTTAAAACAGGTCCAAGGCATACCTAAACAAAGCTAAGGACACACCTAGATGGCATCTAAGTGGTCTAAACATGCAAGCATACAAAAGAGGCCACACATGGAGCATAAGATGACTACCTTGTAAAGCATTAATGGGACATCAAATGCAAGCATACAAGCATACCATGAGGACTGAAATGATGCTATAAGTAGTGCCAAACCACTGAAATGATGCAAGGATGACATGCTAGAGGGGTCAATACTCAAGGCATACAAGAGAGTTTGCATTGTAACTATACAAAGCAAAGCATGGATGACTCAAATGACCAAAAACAGTCCCTTAGCATACTAAAACAAGCATAAAAGCTTCACAAAGCTAGGCCGAAATCATGCTAGAACAAGGGTTAAAGCCTAAAGCATGTTAAGGCAAAAATATGGCATTACAAGACATGTATGCAAGGCAAGCATGGTGTGTCTAAACCAAGAAAAAACAGAAGTAATACATGGCAATATAAGCACAAAAAACAGCTAAGGCATGGCCATCATACACTTAAACAAGATGCTCACACATGAGGCAAAAATGGCCCTTTTCAAGGACAACAAGGAGAGGGGTGGCCCTCTCCTTCTTAGGACCTTAAGGCACCATCCTCACCACTAAAATCCTTCAAGATTTCAGTGGTGAGGAGGCCCAAAAAAAGTGGTCCCGGAGCTCACCAAAATAGCACAAAAATAGGGCCAAACAAGGCCTAAGAGGGGTCAAACACCCCCAAACGACAAAGAAACCTTAAACAACTATGTTAAGCACTCAAAATCAAGACTTTTATTAGTTATATACAAAGTCTAAAAACAGTTTTAAGATTGGTTAAAATGCTATGCAAAAATGGGGAATAAAGGGTGAAGTTCTTACCCTTGATGACCCTCTTCACAAACAATGCTCCAGTTGGTTCTTCAAGCTTGAATCCACTCAAGAACACCAAGAACAGCTCTCTGGCCCCTCAGAAACTAAGAGAAGGTGTAACTCTATGTATTTGTGTGCAATAGTAAGACTAAAACACCTTAAGGCAAAAGAGAGAGAGAGATAGAGATAGAATAGCTACAACTATGAACTAACCCTAACTCAGAGCTCCCTCTGTATTTTTTTTGTGTCACCCTAACGGAGGGAGAAGAGGCTCCCTCTTATAGAGCTCGCTCTTGCAAAGCTTCTCAAGTAATGTATGGAGGGGGGCAAAGTGGGTGCCAGCTATCACAGCTGGCATAAAATATCTGCCAAAAGCAGATGCACAGTGGTCGGCCAGCCAAAAATGTAATTTGACCAAAATAGATGGCCGATCGACCATCCAGAGTGCCGACCGACCAAATATTTGGCCGATGGCAACAAAACCC